GACCCTGCGGCTGAGGGACTGACCTGCGGCTGAGGGACTGACCTGCGGCTGAGGACTGACCTGCGGCTGAGGGACTGACCTGCGGCTGAGGGACTGACCTGCGGCTGAGGGACTGACCTGCGGCTGAGGGACTGACCTGCGGCTGAGGGACTGACCTGCGGCTGAGGGACTGACCTGCGGCTGAGGGACTGACCTGCGGCTGAGGGACTGACCTGCGGCTGAGGGACTGACCTGCGGCTGAGGGACTGACCTGCGGCTGAGGGACTGACCTGCGGCTGAGGGACTGACCTGCGGCTGAGGGACTGACCTGCGGCTGAGGGACTGACCTGCGGCTGAGGGACTGACCTGCGGCTGAGGGACTGACCTGCGGCTGAGGGACTGACCTGCGGCTGAGGGACTGACCTGCGGCTGAGGGACTGACCTGCGGCTGAGGGACTGACCTGCGGCTGAGGGACTGACCTGCGGCTGAGGGACTGACCTGCGGCTGAGGGACTGACCTGCGGCTGAGGGACTGACCTGCGGCTGAGGGACTGACCTGCGGCTGAGGGACTGACCTGCGGCTGAGGGACTGACCTGCGGCTGAGGGACTGACCTGCGGCTGAGGGACTGACCTGCGGCTGAGGGACTGACCTGCGGCTGAGGGACTGACCTGCGGCTGAGGGACTGACCTGCGGCTGAGGGACTGACCTGCGGCTGAGGGACTGACCTGCGGCTGAGGGACTGACCTGCGGCTGAGGGACTGACCTGCGGCTGAGGGACTGACCTGCGGCTGAGGGACTGACCTGCGGCTGAGGGACTGACCTGCGGCTGAGGGACTGACCTGCGGCTGAGGGACTGACCTGCGGCTGAGGGACTGACCTGCGGCTGAGGGACTGACCTGCGGCTGAGGGACTGACCTGCGGCTGAGGGACTGACCTGCGGCTGAGGGACTGACCTGCGGCTGAGGGACTGACCTGCGGCTGAGGGACTGACCTGCGGCTGAGGGACTGACCTGCGGCTGAGGGACTGACCTGCGGCTGAGGGACTGACCTGCGGCTGAGGGACTGACCTGCGGCTGAGGGACTGACCTGCGGCTGAGGGACTGACCTGCGGCTGAGGGACTGACCTGCGGCTGAGGGACTGACCTGCGGCTGAGGGACTGACCTGCGGCTGAGGGACTGACCTGCGGCTGAGGGACTGACCTGCGGCTGAGGGACTGACCTGCGGCTGAGGGACTGACCTGCGGCTGAGGGACTGACCTGCGGCTGAGGGACTGACCTGCGGCTGAGGGACTGACCTGCGGCTGAGGGACTGACCTGCGGCTGAGGGACTGACCTGCGGCTGAGGGACTGACCTGCGGCTGAGGGACTGACCTGCGGCTGAGGGACTGACCTGCGGCTGAGGGACTGACCTGCGGCTGAGGGACTGACCTGCGGCTGAGGGACTGACCTGCGGCTGAGGGACTGACCTGCGGCTGAGGGACTGACCTGCGGCTGAGGGACTGACCTGCGGCTGAGGGACTGACCTGCGGCTGAGGGACTGACCTGCGGCTGAGGGACTGACCTGCGGCTGAGGGACTGACCTGCGGCTGAGGGACTGACCTGCGGCTGAGGGACTGACCTGCGGCTGAGGGACTGACCTGCGGCTGAGGGACTGACCTGCGGCTGAGGGACTGACCTGCGGCTGAGGGACTGACCTGCGGCTGAGGGACTGACCTGCGGCTGAGGGACTGACCTGCGGCTGAGGGACTGACCTGCGGCTGAGGGACTGACCTGCGGCTGAGGGACTGACCTGCGGCTGAGGGACTGACCTGCGGCTGAGGGACTGACCTGCGGCTGAGGGACTGACCTGCGGCTGAGGGACTGACCTGCGGCTGAGGGACTGACCTGCGGCTGAGGGACTGACCTGCGGCTGAGGGACTGACCTGCGGCTGAGGGACTGACCTGCGGCTGAGGGACTGACCTGCGGCTGAGGGACTGACCTGCGGCTGAGGGACTGACCTGCGGCTGAGGGACTGACCTGCGGCTGAGGGACTGACCTGCGGCTGAGGGACTGACCTGCGGCTGAGGGACTGACCTGCGGCTGAGGGACTGACCTGCGGCTGAGGGACTGACCTGCGGCTGAGGGACTGACCTGCGGCTGAGGGACTGACCTGCGGCTGAGGGACTGACCTGCGGCTGAGGGACTGACCTGCGGCTGAGGGACTGACCTGCGGCTGAGGGACTGACCTGCGGCTGAGGGACTGACCTGCGGCTGAGGGACTGACCTGCGGCTGAGGGACTGACCTGCGGCTGAGGGACTGACCTGCGGCTGAGGGACTGACCTGCGGCTGAGGGACTGACCTGCGGCTGAGGGACTGACCTGCGGCTGAGGGACTGACCTGCGGCTGAGGGACTGACCTGCGGCTGAGGGACTGACCTGCGGCTGAGGGACTGACCTGCGGCTGAGGGACTGACCTGCGGCTGAGGGACTGACCTGCGGCTGAGGGACTGACCTGCGGCTGAGGGACTGACCTGCGGCTGAGGGACTGACCTGCGGCTGAGGGACTGACCTGCGGCTGAGGGACTGACCTGCGGCTGAGGGACTGACCTGCGGCTGAGGGACTGACCTGCGGCTGAGGGACTGACCTGCGGCTGAGGGACTGACCTGCGGCTGAGGGACTGACCTGCGGCTGAGGGACTGACCTGCGGCTGAGGGACTGACCTGCGGCTGAGGGACTGACCTGCGGCTGAGGGACTGACCTGCGGCTGAGGGACTGACCTGCGGCTGAGGGACTGACCTGCGGCTGAGGGACTGACCTGCGGCTGAGGGACTGACCTGCGGCTGAGGGACTGACCTGCGGCTGAGGGACTGACCTGCGGCTGAGGGACTGACCTGCGGCTGAGGGACTGACCTGCGGCTGAGGGACTGACCTGCGGCTGAGGGACTGACCTGCGGCTGAGGGACTGACCTGCGGCTGAGGGACTGACCTGCGGCTGAGGGACTGACCTGCGGCTGAGGGACTGACCTGCGGCTGAGGGACTGACCTGCGGCTGAGGGACTGACCTGCGGCTGAGGGACTGACCTGCGGCTGAGGGACTGACCTGCGGCTGAGGGACTGACCTGCGGCTGAGGGACTGACCTGCGGCTGAGGGACTGACCTGCGGCTGAGGGACTGACCTGCGGCTGAGGGACTGACCTGCGGCTGAGGGACTGACCTGCGGCTGAGGGACTGACCTGCGGCTGAGGGACTGACCTGCGGCTGAGGGACTGACCTGCGGCTGAGGGACTGACCTGCGGCTGAGGGACTGACCTGCGGCTGAGGGACTGACCTGCGGCTGAGGGACTGACCTGCGGCTGAGGGACTGACCTGCGGCTGAGGGACTGACCTGCGGCTGAGGGACTGACCTGCGGCTGAGGGACTGACCTGCGGCTGAGGGACTGACCTGCGGCTGAGGGACTGACCTGCGGCTGAGGGACTGACCTGCGGCTGAGGGACTGACCTGCGGCTGAGGGACTGACCTGCGGCTGAGGGACTGACCTGCGGCTGAGGGACTGACCTGCGGCTGAGGGACTGACCTGCGGCTGAGGGACTGACCTGCGGCTGAGGGACTGACCTGCGGCTGAGGGACTGACCTGCGGCTGAGGGACTGACCTGCGGCTGAGGGACTGACCTGCGGCTGAGGGACTGACCTGCGGCTGAGGGACTGACCTGCGGCTGAGGGACTGACCTGCGGCTGAGGGACTGACCTGCGGCTGAGGGACTGACCTGCGGCTGAGGGACTGACCTGCGGCTGAGGGACTGACCTGCGGCTGAGGGACTGACCTGCGGCTGAGGGACTGACCTGCGGCTGAGGGACTGACCTGCGGCTGAGGGACTGACCTGCGGCTGAGGGACTGACCTGCGGCTGAGGGACTGACCTGCGGCTGAGGGACTGACCTGCGGCTGAGGGACTGACCTGCGGCTGAGGGACTGACCTGCGGCTGAGGGACTGACCTGCGGCTGAGGGACTGACCTGCGGCTGAGGGACTGACCTGCGGCTGAGGGACTGACCTGCGGCTGAGGGACTGACCTGCGGCTGAGGGACTGACCTGCGGCTGAGGGACTGACCTGCGGCTGAGGGACTGACCTGCGGCTGAGGGACTGACCTGCGGCTGAGGGACTGACCTGCGGCTGAGGGACTGACCTGCGGCTGAGGGACTGACCTGCGGCTGAGGGACTGACCTGCGGCTGAGGGACTGACCTGCGGCTGAGGGACTGACCTGCGGCTGAGGGACTGACCTGCGGCTGAGGGACTGACCTGCGGCTGAGGGACTGACCTGCGGCTGAGGGACTGACCTGCGGCTGAGGGACTGACCTGCGGCTGAGGGACTGACCTGCGGCTGAGGGACTGACCTGCGGCTGAGGGACTGACCTGCGGCTGAGGGACTGACCTGCGGCTGAGGGACTGACCTGCGGCTGAGGGACTGACCTGCGGCTGAGGGACTGACCTGCGGCTGAGGGACTGACCTGCGGCTGAGGGACTGACCTGCGGCTGAGGGACTGACCTGCGGCTGAGGGACTGACCTGCGGCTGAGGGACTGACCTGCGGCTGAGGGACTGACCTGCGGCTGAGGGACTGACCTGCGGCTGAGGGACTGACCTGCGGCTGAGGGACTGACCTGCGGCTGAGGGACTGACCTGCGGCTGAGGGACTGACCTGCGGCTGAGGGACTGACCTGCGGCTGAGGGACTGACCTGCGGCTGAGGGACTGACCTGCGGCTGAGGGACTGACCTGCGGCTGAGGGACTGACCTGCGGCTGAGGGACTGACCTGCGGCTGAGGGACTGACCTGCGGCTGAGGGACTGACCTGCGGCTGAGGGACTGACCTGCGGCTGAGGGACTGACCTGCGGCTGAGGGACTGACCTGCGGCTGAGGGACTGACCTGCGGCTGAGGGACTGACCTGCGGCTGAGGGACTGACCTGCGGCTGAGGGACTGACCTGCGGCTGAGGGACTGACCTGCGGCTGAGGGACTGACCTGCGGCTGAGGGACTGACCTGCGGCTGAGGGACTGCAGGAAGTTCTGCATGTTGCCGATGAGGAAGGCGAAGAGGAAGAGCCCGAGCGCGACGATGAGCAGCATGAAGACCACCTCGCCCACCTCCGTGGTCGGCACCAGATTGCCTGCTAGTGTACTGATTTGCTGCTCCCCTCACACACACACACACATTACACCGTTCACGCACACACACACCACACCACACCACACCGCATGTCGAGTGAGAGGAGGAAGAGAGGGGAGTCAGGGAGGCTGGAGGGACAAGGGAAGACCAGCTGGTTGGAGAACAGGAGAGTCCAAGTCAAGAGAGCGAGGAGAGAGGTGTGTGGTTGGTGGTGGGCGTAGGGGTGAGGGTGGGGGTGGGGGGGGAGGGGTTACCTGGAAGCCCCACATGAGGGAGTAGAGCCAGGTGGAGAAGAAGGAGCCGAGCTGCACGACGCGCACACCCGTTGTGTACATGCCGTAAAAGTCGCTGCTGATGCCGCTGCTGCTCAGACACTGGTCGTACATGCTCGTACTGTTCGCCCGCCACTCGCTGTACCCCTGTGTACCGTCCCCCGGGCAGCTGAGGAAGGACTGGTAGCAGGGCGGCGAGGAGTCGGGCAGACAGGAGTTGACGAGGCAGGTGGCGGTGCGCTGCATGGTGAGGAGGTACCAGAGCGTGCCGACCACGTTGGAGCCCATGAAGAAGGCAACCAGGTTGAGCAGGAAGGAGGCCCAGGCGGTCTCAAAGAGCACGGAGTGGCTGCCCTGGCCTGACAGCATGGGGTACATGCGCGCGAGGCGCGGCACAAACTGCAGCAGCACGCTGATGCGCACCGCCACCTGCCACGTCTGCGACACGTTGATGTCGGGCGAGAGCGGCAGCACCGCCACTGTTATTATCTGGGAGGGGAGGAGAGGGACAGCTTGGTGGAGTGAGGCAGGAGCAGCGGAGCGCAAAGGAGGGGAGGGGCAGGGTGCATAGGGAAGGAGGGATGGCGAGGAGGGCATGGAAGGAGGGATGGCGAGGAGAGCAGGGAGCGGAACGATGTGAGCGAGGGCAGAGCGAGCGGCACAAGGAGGTGAGACTTGTGGGAGGTGCGGCCCTGGGGAAAGAGGGACCCATGGATGGGCGAAGTTGGCGAGGGACGGAACGGAGGTGGGGAGGGGCGGACCTGGGGGAGGGGGATGAGGGCGAGGAGGTCGGCAAGGAAGAGCGTTCGGAGGTAGTTGATGAGGATGGCGCGGCCGTCCACCACCAGGTCGCCCAGCTTCACCTTCTCGCCACTCGAGTTCTTTATGTTGCCATCCTTGACATGGTCGTGCGTGGCGTTGAACATCATGCGAGTCTGATGCACACCCGGGGGGAAGGGGGGAGGTGTTGTGAACGGGCGAGAGGGGTGAGGAGGAGGGGATACGAGGGGGTTCGTTGGGATAGAGCAGCGATGGAAGGAAAGTGGAGAGGGAAAGTGGGGAGGGAAAGTGGGGAGGAAAGTGGGGAGGAAAGTGGAAAGTGGAGAAGGAAAGTGGGGAGGAAAGTGGGGAGGAAAGTGGAAAGTGGAGAGGGAAAGCGGGGAGGAAAGCGGGGAGGAAAGTGGGGAGGAAAGTGGGGAGGGAAAGTGGGGAGGAAAGTGGGGAGGAAAGTGGGGAGTAAAGTGGGGAGGAAAGTGGGTAGGGGAATGGGGGCTGAAGGGAGAGGTGATGCAGTGGCAGGGAGAGGGGTGCGGCATGGGGGACTGAGCGCACAAGCATGGCACGGAAAGGCGAGAGCCTCAATATGTACAAGCAAGTTGAGAGAGACTCACATGCACTAGTATGTTGAGAGAGACTCACATGCACGAGTATGTTGAGAGAGACTCACATGCACTAGTATGTTGAGGAGCGTGAGGAAGTCAAGGAAGGTGCGAATGCCGACGAGACAGTAGGCGAATGTCCACCTCGTGTACACACACATGTTCTCCTGCACATGCCCACGCGCACACACGCACACGCACACACGCACACGCACACACATGCACGTGCACACACATACAGACAAATGATGCTGGCCTTAAAGTGGACGGTGTTTTGCAGAAAATATATGATTGGACGAAGGGGAGTGGAACCCAGGGTGGTGGGAACCACTTGACTGACGGAGAGGCACCTGACTGGCAGAGAGGCACCTGACTGATGGAGAGGCACCTGACTGGCAGAGAGGCACCTGACTGATGGAGAGGCACCTGACTGACAGAGAGGCAGGTGGATGAGGGAGAAGGACCTACCTGACTGATGGAGGGGCACGTACCCGGGTGAGGGAGGGGCGGGTACCTGGGAGACGGAGAGGACGAGGAGGAAGAAGGGGTCGAGCAGGAAGGCGGCGAGCATCATGCCGAACTGCAGCTTCACCCACAGCTTCACGTAGTAGCTGTGCGGGTGCAGCAGCGGCGGCGGCCACAGCTCCGCCAAGAACCGCCGCAGCAGGAAGCGCCGCCGCCGCTGCCAGGGGCGCAGAGGGGTGGGGAGGGATGGGACCGATGGGAGGGATGTGAGGGGGAGGGGTGGGGAGGGATGGGAAGGTGGTGGCAATGGCAATGCAGCACGGACACCGACAGTGGCAATGCCTCGCTGCGAGTAGGCAGCGCCGGGGGCTCACGTAGGTGAATGGGTGCAGCGCGGGTGTGGTGGCTCACGTAGGTAAATGGGTGCAGCGCGGGTGTGGTGGCTCACGTAGGTGAATCGGAGGCCGCAGCAGCGCAGTGTGACGAGCAGCTCCTCCTCGCCGTCGCCATCCTCGTCCCCGTCGTCGTCCAGCATCCAGTCCATCGCCGAGTAGTCCTTCGCCACCGTCGTCACGGCCGCGCTGGCGCCGGGCGCGGCGGCGGCCATCATTTTGCGCATGTGGAGGTGCATCTCGGGCGGGCAGCGGTTGCACATGGGGTCCATGCACATGATCACACTCTGCCGCACCATCTTGCGCTGCCGCACGCCGCCCGGCATGTCCACGTGCACCGCCGACTGCGGCGGTCCGCCCGCGTTGCCTATCAGGTTCGTCGCGCGCTGCTGCTTCTGCTGCTGCTGCCGCGCCTTGCGCTCGGCGCGCAGCGCTTCGAGGTCCTTGGCGAGCCGCTCCAGGTCGTCGTCGTCCGCGCCCTCACTCGCGCCCTCGTCGTCCGCCGCCGCCCCTGCGCGCGCGGTGTCCGCCATGTCCTTGAGTTCGCGCTCCACTTCCTTGATGTCTTTCAGCGACCGCCGCACCATCTGCCACTTGCTCCGCCCCGACCCCACCTTCCCCACACCGCCCTCGCCTTGCACTCCGCCTTCCTCCCCCGGCTGCTTCGGCCCGCCCGTCAACGCCCCCCCGTCGTCGGGCTGCGCGTCGACGGCGGCGCTCGCCCTCGGTAAGCTGTTGCTTCCGTCGGCTCTCGGCGAGGGGACGTCGCGATCGTCGTCGAAGCGCACTCCCGCGCCTAGCGGCTTGCGCCGGGGGTACATGGCGGACATGGGGCGCAGCGCGGACGTTACCCGGTTCAAGGGCCCGCTGCGTTGCTTCGCTTTGCCGCCGGTGCTGACGGACGGCGGAAGGCGTTGCGCTTCCGCCGCCTCCCCTTCATTCGACCGTGGCCCGCGATCGCTCTCCCCTCGCGGCAGCCTTGCGGTTGCCGGTGTAGAGGCGGACGGAATGGCGGCAGCGCCCGGCGGGTGTGGGTGTGGCCGGCGAGGGGACGGCAGTTGAGCGGAGTCGGTCGCTGAAGGCGGAGTGGTAAGGGACGGTACAGAGGGTTGGGATGTCGGCGGCTGCGACTCCGATGGCTGCGACGTGGACGGCAGCAGCGACTCGACGTCTGGCGATTCCTTCCACCCCTCGTACTCTGTCAGTAGCGACATCCTCGGCTCGTGGCCCCGCCTCGTGCTACCTAGAACAAGTTGCTGCGATTAACTAACGTGCATGACGGGTAACGAAGGCAGGAAGAAAAGCAATCAGCAGGGGCTGCGGAGGGTCTGCGGCACGACAGTCTAGAGGGTAATGGGGTGCTCCTGTAGGTGTGGTTGCACCGCGGAAGTGACACGTTAGTCGGGAGGTAGGCAAAATGTATGGCTTTAGTTTGAGGAGATATGATATGCAGAGATGAGGGCCGTCCGGTCTTGACCTAAGCTGCTGTTTGGTGAGGGCCGTCCGTCCTTGTGCTCTTCCACTCACCCTCGACAAACAAGCCCGCACGAATGCGGTAAGCAAAGCGAGAGTGCGAGGGCATAGGAAGGGCAACACTACACACCCATCCAAGCACTGGGCAATTGACAAAAAACCTTTTGGCGGGAACGAGATGTACAAAAAGATAATAGCAGTGGTTGGTGTCAAGCATAAATGTGATAAAATGAAAGCACTAGAAAACAAAGGGTAAAACGAACTGCTTGGCAGAAACGTGGGTATTGTTGCTGGAGACATCGAGCTTGTTGCGTGAGACCCAACGTTCAATGCAGGTGGCTGCAATTCGAGGCGGGCAATTGGGGTTTCGCCTTGAAACCTGGGAACCAGGGACCTCGTTAATGGACACTTCAATACACGGTTTTTTTTTTTGAATGATATTGCACTATAGGAAGTGCATACATTCTCAGTCGAAACTGATTGTCCGGAGAGGCCCTACCCTGTTTATATAGCCTTGTACTACTACCGGGGCCTCCCCTCCGTGGGGATTTTATGGAGGCTGTCTGATCGTTCTGGGATTACACCAGATGGAGAGAAATGTTGGAAACAAGTAATTTAAACGCTCCTGTTGTGTCGAAACAATAAGACAACAAACGACGCAAATCACAGCGGAGCAACGGCGAGTCAACCGAAGAGTTTGACAGAAAGTAACAGCTGGAGGTTACGCGAAGGACAAAATACAGCGCGGCAGCAAGGACAAACAACTGACTCGGTATTGAGCAGTTGCCCGAGTCGTCACTGTATCGAACTGCAACAGCAAAAACAGTTAATCGCACCTCTTCGTATTCCTTGTAATCATATATATTCTTGTATCTCTTTGCTTTAATCAATTCATCTTGCTCTCACACACTAGTGCAAGGTGGTTCAACAGTTCAACAAGTTTATTATACGCTTCCACAATTACAACATTTCTACTCCAAATCTTAGCCTTGAAAAGATCCTAAGGGCTTTTCTCAGCCCAACATGGTATGAGAGCCTCCAGGCAAGATCCACTACAAAAACTCCTACAACAGCGCAAGGCATGGCAACTCAGAAGGAGAGGAGTTCCTCCAACGGATCTCCCGGCACTACTCCTTCTCCACCTCCAGCTTCTGGCCAACAGACAGAAGAAGGTACAGCTACAAGACCAGCTGCGGAGTCTACCGAAACTCCCGCGAATCAACCAACAGGCCTCGATCCAAGCATGATGGAGAAATTCTTCTCCTTCATGTCCTTCTACGAGCAGCATCAACAAGCAGCACCTGCACAATCAAACAACAGCGACAACTGTCAAACATATGTTTATATGTTATAGTTTAGGTAGGCTTTAGTGGGGTACTCACTGTGGGGTACAACCCCTTAGGTTTTTCTTTTGTACCAAACTCTCGATAGTTCATCCATCACTTGCCTAAGAGCTTGACATGGCATATAGAGCATAGGTCCTTAGGACCTAGGATTAGGGCCCACCGATTACCATATTACCTCACCTGCCTACCTGCCTTGTCTACTGCCCGCGCGCGCCTCGGCTGCACGCGCGCGGCCCCTTTTTTTTTTTTTTTTTTCCCGCGCGCGCCTCTTAAGCAGCCCGCGCGGCCCGTTTAGGCCCCGCCCGCGCAGCCCGTTTAGGCCCCGCCCGCGCGGCCCGTTTAGGCCCCGCCCGCGCGCCACTTCCGCCGCCCGCGCGCAGCCTGCTTAGGCCACGCCCGAGCAGCCCGCTGCCGCACGCAGCCCGGAGCCGCGCGCAGCCCGTCGCCATGCGCAGCCAGGAGCCGCACGCAGCCCGTCGCCACGCGCAGCCAGCAGCCGCACGCAGCCCTCAGCCGCACGCAGCCAGCAGCCGTGCGTGCCCTGCTCGTGTGCCTACCTGCGAGGCCCGCTGCTGCCTAGCCCGCTGCCTTATAAAGCGCGCGGCCTGCTGCTGTCTACCACGCCGCCTTAGGAGCTTGAGTGCGGCAAGCTACTGCCCTGCAAGTTGCATGTGCTGCCTGCTGCCTGCTGCCTCTGTCTTAGCCTGCGGTCTACTGCCTGCTGCCTCCTGTCTACTGCCTGCTGTCTCTGTCTTTGCCTGCGGCCTGCTGCCTACTGCCTCCTGTCTGCTGCCTGCTGCCTACTGCCTTTGCCTGCTACCGTTATGACGACGCCTAACGTTCTCGCGTTCGAGCTTGACGGTCGCCCCATAGAGTTCGCTGTGTGGTTAGACGACCTCCAACTGTTCCTTCTGACCGATGCCAAAGAGGGCGTTTCACTGTTCGATTACGTGTCTGGCACTGCCGTTGCTCCTACTGCCGATGCTCCTGCTCTTGAACGCTCGCAGTGGCAGACTTGCGATGCTGCTGCACGCCTAGCTATTAGGAACCATCTGCCGATTACTGAGCGCGCGCATTTCAGCCAGCACAAAAGTGCTAAGACGCTGTACGACGCTGTAGTTGCGCGCTACTCCTCCCCGGCCACTGCAGCCATAGGTCGGCTCATGCTACCCTACCTGTTCCCCGACCTTTCCTCGTTCACCGCTGCTGATGACCTCATTTCTCATCTGCGCGCTACTGACACTCGCTTTCGTGCCGCCCTTTCAGCCGAGTTCTGCGCCGCAACCCCCCCCCCCCCCCCGATGTACTTCACTCTCTATTTCCTCGTCACCCACCTCCCTGACACTCTTAGCTCTGTCAGGGACCACTTCCTAGCGCTAGACCCCACCACTCTCACTGTCGACGACTTCGAGAAGCACCTCCTCGCAGCAGAGAAGAACATCCTCGCTGTAGGTGCTGCTCGTGGCACTCCTCGCTCTCCCCTCTTTGAGGGGTGCTCCCCCTCCCCTCTCACCCCCTCCTACGCCTCCGCAGCTGCTGCTCACGACTACCTTGGTGCTGAGGAGGTCGGAGCTGCTTCCGCTCCTAGTGGGAAGCGTCGCAGCGGCAGGGGCGGCAGGGGTGGCAGGGGCGGTGGGGGTGGCGGTGGAGGTGGCGGTGGTGCAGGCGGCGGGGGGGTTGTGTTGGTGCAACCCTACGGTTTGCACTCGGCTTGTTGTCCGTGTGCGTGAATGTGTGTGTGTATGGAATGGTATGAGGGCATGGGATAATATATATTTCATGCTTATAATTGTGTGTGAATGTTGAGTCATGATGTCGAGTGTGTGTGTCGAGTCAATAGCGAGTTATCGCTAGACGCGTGTTACGCGGTCGTTTGTGTCTCGCGCGCGGTTTCTATTTTGTCGTGCGCGGTTTCTATTTTGTCCTGTGTCGAACGTTCGGCGTGTCGCAGGTGTGTGCAGCAGACCCATCAAGAACTCAAGGATGAGTTTGTGATGAAGAGCCCGAGCCTTGGTGTCAAGCCTCAAGTGATTTCGAAGCTTGCCAAAAGGGTACACCTCAAGATATTGAAGATAGTTACATTACTTTGTGTAGTGTAACATTTCACTTGGTGTAGGCCCTAGTGAAGGGTAGTTTCGAGACCCTTCGTGGTTGGGGACAGTGTGGCACTGTTCCACATCACTGTACCTCGGCTCTTGGGGTTTGTAGGAGCTGGGAGTCATTCCCAACTCGTAACTCTTCCTATCTTGTGTTCTAAGACTATAGTGGCTGCCATAGTACCGTTTGTTCAAACCGACGCTGTGTCGTCAAATCTTTATCAAATCGTGCAATCTAAATTGCTAATTGTAGACGACGTGAAAACGCTCCAGATCCAATTTGAATCAAGTCATTTGCAGCTGTGAGCAGAACGCTATCAACGTTTGAAGCCGTTGTGCAGAAATCCGTCTGTGCTCTCTATCTTTCGTTTTAGGCACATTCAAGCCTATTGTGACAATAACAAGTGGTATCAGAGGCCCTTGGAGCAGTTTCGACAATGTCTGGACCTGAGGAAAGGGGTGGCAGAGGTGCTGGTGGCAGTGGAGAAGCTCAAGCTCAAGGCCAACCCCGTGATTCAGCCATGGCGCCCATGCAACCAAGTCTTGGCCCACCTAGGGATGAGCCTAGGGTGTTTGGGCTTGACAAGTTCAACGGTGACAACTTTGCTGAATGGTCCTTCAAGATGGAGAACATCTTTGACCACTATGACCTGCTGGAGGTGATGGAAGGAACGGAGAAGCGCCCCGAGAACGACCCGGAGAAGAGCCCGTGGGTGCGGAAGAGCGCACAAGGCTATCTCTTACTTGGGCAAGCGTTGGGGAGCAGTCAGATCCGTCACATCAAGCCATTCCAGCGTGAACCAGAGAAAGGACCAAAGGCATGGGCTGCTCTCAAGGGTGTACATGCTCCTGCAACAGCGGCGGTAGCGGTGGTGTTGGAACGGAAAATGGCGGCACTACGAATTGAAGAAGACGAAGCGGTTGAAGAAGGGGTGCAGAAATTCTTCGACTTGTTGACGCGGCTTGAGGGAGCTGATTTGAACTACAGTGAGCTCCAAAAGAAGACCAAGTTGCTGGCCTTACTCCCAGAGTCATGGTCCTCGCTCATCATCAACCTTAATCGCGACTTGCCCCGCCTCTCGCTTGAAGACGTGAAGCGAGCTATCCTTCAAGAGGATTTCCGCCGCCGTGAGTTGGCGAGTGCGGATGGCGCTGGGGCAGCGAGCATCGGCCGTGGATATGGTCGAGGAAGAGGCAGAGGACGAGGGGGAGGAAGGTTTGGTGGCAGCAACTTCGGCGGAGGCCGCAGGAGTGGCGGTTACGGCAGCGACGACAAGAGCTACGGACGCGGTCGCGGCC